TACTTTTTTGCCCCACTGTATAAGAGATGAGATAAAAATATAACCTTGGGAAGGACATGATAGGTGGATAAAATGCCAAATCCAGTCTAAACATCTGGCTGACTGTATGACCAACAATAATAATGTAAACAAGCTAGTTGCTGTAAAAACATTTTATTTAATTTTAATTTATTTAATTTGATTTCATGCCAAATTAAATGACTCTAGGCAGTGTACAATTAAAAAGAAATAGGAAAAAATATCACAGAACACAGCTGAGTGGAATGCTAACTCAGTATCACAAAAAGTCATGCCAAAACCATAGGGGCTCCATAACTATCCTATCCCAGTCTATGCCCAAGAGAACAAATTTACAAAGCAATCATAAACTATTTTATATTTACTATTTACTGTCAGTATCATGGAAGTGGTTATATTCCTGTTTAATATTCTTAACAAGTTCAGTTCTCTTTATTTCCTCTTCTTATAAAGGTAAACAGTCTGGAGCTCTTCTCTTTCTGGATTATTTCCCTCAACCAGCCAGAGTCATAAGCCAAAGTAATGCCTGTGATTCCAGCCTGTTTAAATAAAAGCAAATTGTAATCTTCACTTTGTGTGTAATGCTGAACTAACCACAGATGCAGCTGTCTGGATCTCTTTATTGCTCCTGCGACAATATCAACTGATTTGCATGCACCAGCACACCAAGATATAATTCTAAAGAAGTCTGGATTATTGTGATGTTCAAATACAAACACTAAGTATCAAAGAGAGAACAACACTTCAGAATTTTTAGATACAATTGTGCTTTTATTTTTCTTCTTAAAAACTGGTCCACTTTAACATTTAATTTAGCAGCCTGTTGTGCTGACACATTTACAAAATCAAAATTAATTGAACTGATACAATATGTGTAACATTATACAAAAGGAGTGGGACTTCTCATCACAGCTATGTCCCTTCTCCTCATATATGGTTTGGTCTAGTGGTTAAAGAACCAGGCTAGAAATCAGGAGACTGAGAGTTCTAGTCCCGCCTTAGGCACAAAAGCTGGCTGGGTGACTTGGGCCAGTCACTCTCTCTCAGGCCAACTCACCTCACAGGGTTGTTGTAATGGGGAAAATAGGAGGAAGGAGTATTAGGTATGTTCGCTACCTTGAGTTATAAAAACAATAAAGGCGAGATTTAAAAAATCTAAAAAAAAAAAAAAATCTGGTGTAGGCACTTTTGCTGCCAGTGGAATTTTATCACTGAATTCAACTCAGTAAGAAGCTAAGATCCTAACATCTGTTCCATTACTTCAACATTTTGAAGATCAGTTTTGTAAACTGAAAACCAGCATCTCTTGCCTTCTAAATGGGTACAGCAATCCTAGTTGATAATACCCACATATCCTCTCCTGTTTTGCTGGAAATCTTCTATGTTCGCCTGATACAAATTGGTTATATAAATGCAAGAAAGGAAAATCTATGGAAAGGAGTCACAACCAAGATGTATGAATCCTTAATTTATAACCGGAACTCCTTCTATCATAACATTTCTATGGGCTGAAGCAAAGCTCTGTAAATAAAAATTTAAAATTACTAAAATAAGGATGTCCAAGATGACATTCCTACTTAATTTTTTTTTTGTCTGTGTGACAAATCTTTATTTATAATCCCATTAATTCATCAACACTGAATCAGGAAAAATGAAAAACCCCAGAATACAAGAGATTTCATTCAGACAGGTAGTCCTTGTTTAGCGACTGCCTCATTTAGCAACCATTTGCAGTTACAATGGTGATGAAAAAGTAACTTTATGACCAATCCTTGCATTTACAACCTTTGCAGGTTTGTAAAGCAAAGGAAAGCTAATGTAAGATCATAAGAACTTTTGCGGTTTCACTTAGTGACTACTTTGCTTAATGACCAAGTTACCAGTCCCATTTCTGGTCCCTAAACAAGGACTACCTGTACTTGAAAACTGAAAGATGTATTAAAGCCAAAATAGGTAAACGTAGGAACATACGTAGTCTTTCCTGTTAGTGAGGTCTTCCAACAATAAATGGTAAATAGAAGTTACTGGTAATCTTTACTTAATGGTAAAGTTTCACAAAGAGTTGGACATGACTTAATGACTGAACAACAACAAAAAGTTTCAGATGTTCACAAATCTTTTGTTTTTATCCTAATCGCAGAAAATCCTGCATCAGAAATCAAACCAGACTCTATTCTACCTTATATAACATTTACTATTGATTGTATCAAAAGTAGATATATCCGAAAAGTAACACACCTACTATATGCAATATTTATAATGAAAATGGGGTGAAGATTGAATATAGTAGCCATGTATACTGAAGAATACATAAGCATGTGTGCATGTGCACACATGCACAAATAGCCTTTCAAATGTCTGAAGGTGGGATAAGCATGTTACAAATGCAAATAGGTGGTGAAAAAAAAATCTGGATCTTATGCCTACATATATCTAAAGTATGCTATTTCACATGTCTAACACTAAAGTATTTTCTACTTCACAGAATTTTAAAGATATGTGTACATATGCCTTTCCATTCATTACACATTTTGCACTGATAAAAGTTTCACAGAAAGCACTATGTTCAGTTGTCAAAATGAGCAAAACAACTGTCTTAACTTCACATTTTAAAAGGTATTTTTAAAATTTCTACAAACTTCAGGGTAAGTCATTAGACATGTTTAGCATTTTCCACAGGAAAATGAGACAGTCATCTGAGAAAGTCCATTACATGTACTTAATAAACGCAGTTTAAATACCTGTTTATTTGCATAACAGTATTAAATGTAGAAATTCAAGTTGGGACAAGTAAGGAACACTAAAACAAGTTCCTTATCTTAAGTCTAATTGACCGCTCCAAAAGCAGGCTCCCAACTTCTACATTATGGTGATAGTTACTCTGTATAGTACTTTTACTTTGAATCTATACATTTCTTAGGATAGAATTCAGCCTGGAATTGGTTCCAAATTCCACCTGAACAAATTGCTACACTCAAATATAATGTCAGGAATTCTGATTTGCCAGAATATCAGAATTTTGCTCCACTGTGTGTACAACCCATTTGGTCCCACTTGATTTCTATTACACACTCTGGATAGCTTAAGACTTAAGCTTAAAGCGTTAAGGATAGCTTAGTGTTATATCCAAACAAACTGACATTCATAATCCAACAATGAATCCTGATTTAAAGCTGATGATCCTGGCGTATTTGGGCACAATATATCAACTGGGATATAATGCTAAGTGATCACTGACTTCTGTTAATCTATTTGTGCAAAGGATACAGATCATATGTATGACAGAATTCTATGTTTACCAAAACTAAGTAAATAAGGCCCCATATAAAAGCCTGAATAGTGCTAAGAACATTCCAGAGTAATTTGCTCTCAGCTAACTCAGCAAAACAGAATAAAAGGATAAATAAAATTCCTACTTCATATATACCTATTATATTCAATATTCTAATATTCCACCTTTGTAAGGGGTGAGGATGCAGCTAAAGAAATATTTTATCAATTTCATACTGTCATAATGTATCATAAGGAACTTCTTGGAGACTACTGTGTGACATCCATGCAAATAAACTGTTGATCCCACAAATATAAAACCTGAACATTAAGGAAATATAGGCACAGTGCATGTTCAAGTATCTTCCAGTGAACACAACTGAAGAAATAACTGCTCTATGGCTGAATTATTCCCTGAATAATTTATTATTTCCACAAAGTTGCCTATTCTTAAGCTATTTGAGAACAATACAGCTTCTCTTTCTGAATGTTCCTTTACTATAGATTGTTCCAGACAAGTGTTAACAGATGTAATAGAACATTAACCGCCTCATCATTTCTGTGCAATCCCAATTACTCATTCTGTAGTCTACAGTTGTCATATTATTCTAAATGGCTGCAATATTTTTGGTATAACATCTTCTCAAGAACAAATAATTTGTTTTTAAAAACAGGTGACCATTAGATATCTAACACAGGCTTGGGTTACATGGTGTAATGTAATATATAGGTTTTGGTTTAAGGTTATACAAACCATCGCTATGATTCGTCCACTAAGCCACAATTTGAAAATTCTGGCATAATATTGCATATGTTACACAAATGTTCAAGACAGTAATCTATCTTTTTAAAGTTTAAGTAGATAAAATAGCAAACATAACAAATTTTTCATTTCACCGATTAGTGCTGGGTTTCAAATAATTTAATTTCATCTATTTTTTTAAAATAAAACTGGACTGATGAATTTTCTAGATCATTTTGTTAATTCGCTAATATTACATTAGGCAAACTTATTTTAGATCAGCACAATGTAACAAAACTACATTTTTAAAAGATAACACAGATATATGATCCATTCCACTAGCAAGTAGAACAGTTGATTTATCAAGCTAGTTTCATATTATAAGATACAGATACTATTACTTATTGCTCAAATTATTCTCAAAGTTTTAAAGAACAGCACAAATTGCAGTATGCTTGAAATAATCTTTGATAACTGAAAGGCTGTTTTCAAAGCGATCAGACCGAAAAAAAAGTAAGGTAACAGCGTTCTGACTTTTAACTCTCTCCTTTAAATAAAAGAACCCCCCCAAAAGCACCTTCTACGCAATCTGCCTCTCATTGAACAAACATTCTTTTGCTCTGTCCTCCCTATTGTTTAGTCCACCAAAGGCGTGTCTATTACTTGCTTTTAAAACCAGAAAACAGCCATTCTCAGCAACCAAATCCCTTCTAAGCTGGCCCTGGGGCATCATGAAGTAAAGAATGCCCAACGCATTCTACGGGCAGTTCTGGAACAAGAAATGCTGACATGGCCGAGAGATCCTTTAAAAGTCCAAGTTGCATTTGTCAGCAGAGCTCAAACCAAACGACAGCGGGAGACATTGTTTCTGGCCGGGGGGTTGCTGACAAGCATCCCCCTGGAGCCCCAGTTTCATGGAAAACTCTGTCAAGCGGGCAGGTAGGCTTAGACGAGGGCTTCTTTCACTCACCAGGATACGCTTGAAGAGCGCGTTTTCCTTCGGCGGGAGGCTCACTGACGGCATTGTCTCTGCTACTGCTGTCGCCGCCGCCTCCGCCCTTCTTGCTCGACCGGGCCGGGGACCCCGCTCCCTTCTACCGCTGCCTGATCACCACCCCTACCGCCGCCTCTCAGGAGGGACTCCACGCCAGGGCGTCGCTACCGCCAGTACTGCCGTCGTTTGCTACGGCGACTCCCCCTTCTACTGTGCGCGGCTTCCCTAGCCGCCGGGATGCCTGTGCCCGGTTACCCCTGCTCCGCAGCGAGCCCCAGGCGGCGGCCGGTTCACGTGGTAACTGAGCAGGCCAGAGAGAGGAGGCGCCGCCAAAATGGCCGCCAACGAGGGCTTCCCCAGCCGGGTCACCAGGAGTTGCGCGCATGCGTTATGACCCCATTTTTTTCCCCCCTTCCTCTCTTTTCTCCATAGATTGAATGGCAGCTGCACGGGAAGTCGGGAAATGGGATCAATCTTACTCTCTTGCTGCGTCTCGGGGAAGGGTTGCGCCTGCGCACTTACCCAGCTCAGAAGCTACGGAAGTACCTGGGGTGGGGAGAAGCGCTGTTAAATTCCTTCAAGATTACAGAGCTGCGCCTGTATAAGACTTGGCCCATTCTTACAAAAGGGAATCGAAGGACTAAGATCATAGTAGCAATGGTGATTGTTGGATTTGTCCTGGGGAGAGAATATTACACCTTAAAGTTGTAATGTTCAAACAATGTTGTAAGTAAATAACTGCATGGTCAGAGCAAACAGCTATTCATCACAATCGCCCGCTTGATGCCTGTAAGAAACCCAGAAAGCAGCACATAAGGAAAATAGTCCCTTGTCATGTATTTAATATCTGGTATTTAATGTCATTCTACATTTGAAGCTACAGATCTCCATCGTCACAGTCAGTAACTATGAATCTAGATGTTAGTTATTTGAAAAGGCAATAGTTGTCATTCACCACATCCTGTAGCATGAAATTCTACTTAAGTGTTGAGTCGGGAAAAACGTTTGACGTTGTGAAGATTTTCTGCTCCTCTTTCATCTCCATTATTAAAGTTAAAATCAACTTCCATACCTACACTTGCTTTTTAGCACTTATTACATCACTCTTGTATTATTAATGACAAAAAGCTGGAAGAACCAGCTGTAAGGCTGCATTCTTGGAACCTCTGAGGAGTTCAGCATTACTATGATTATGAAACAGTTTATGGGTTCCAAAATGATCGGCACTTTTCAGACTGTGAGGAACCACCTGATGCTGAAGAAGATTGTAATCTTGTGACGACCAGCTTGTTTCCTATCTATTCCATTACAAATCATGCGAAGCCCAGTTTTATATCACGCTGCACTGGGTAATACTTTCAGAGAAGTGAATTATACTGTTTGAAAACTTCATATTTATTCAGAAGTCAACTTTTTTTAAGGATTACTCCCAGATAAAAGTATGCATGTATATAAGTCATAGGATAGAGATAACACTGATTGACTACAATCGTTTAAGTATTAAACGCTGTTGAACTCAATGGGAGGAGGTTCTGAATGTACATGCAAATGCCTTTAAAAACTTATACTTACCCTGGACTGAATGGATTTGTACTGATATTCAAAATTTGATTTTCGACTACCTCAACTTTGATGCTTTTAATGAAAGTTTTAAACGTAATGCAAATTTTTAATTATTAAACAATACTGAATGATCAGGATCACATATTTATTATGACACTATTTCTGATTACTACAGTCCACTTTAACAGATGAATTTAGGAGAGTTCTACCAAAGCAATGATTTCAGGAAGAGCTTGAAGATGTTGCTCCAGTTGAGTATAATTTAGTTCCCGGAAAAAGGATAACATAAAAAAACAAAGCAGACATCCAAACCCGACATTTTCTCTAATTTTAAAACAAATGTTATTGAAGTGGAGATGAGCTTCCTTTACAGCAGACTGAGCTGTTCGCCGAGTTGCCGATAGATGGCGCTCTTCGTGCCCAAAGTCTTTTCCTTAGATCTTTTTAGTAGTCGCCCGTCTCGCTCTTGGATTGGTGCATTTGTGTCATCGCTTAGAAAAAGTAACATGGCGGCGGCCTTGCGAGCCGCGAAGCGGTTTTTGCAGGTTTCGAGCAAGGTGACGCCAAGTAAGTCGAGTGGCCTCGGGTGGGACTTGTCTTCTTTTCGGAACCTTGGCGTTTCAGAGAAAAACATTACATTTGCATGAGCTGTTCTCTGTCGCCGTACCCTTGTTGAGTGAATCTGTGAATGTTACGCCCAAGACTCTGAACGTATAACCTTCAGCTTCAGTTGCCTTTCCCTCTTCGTTCACCTTTTTGCTGAGCCCTCTGTGCATACAATAATTTGCGGTGCCCCGTGTGGTCAGGCTAAGGCAGCGAGTTGGGGGGGGGGGAGCATCAGCGGCATCTCAGTATGGGAGAGATGAGCATATGATAGTCCCTTTACTGCACCATTGTTACGTTCCTTTTTTTTATTATTCTAACGAAAGCCTGATGGGACTTGGAGCTTGGACTTTGTGTAAGATGCCTGTTTTTAGGGCTGTGTAGCGATCAGGATTGGAAGGGAAAAAGGTCTTATCCCTGGTACCTCCTTAAACATTTTTTTTCCTGAGATCATGCATGAGTGTAGGAGGGGGAAAAAACCTAATTTTCTTTAAGGAGTGAGTACTTAGCAAAAAGTTGTGGTATGCATCTGTATAAAAACAAAATATTTTTAATTTAAAAAGTCATTGCCTCTTCCTGTTTGTTTCAGATTCATTCCGTTTATATGTTGTCCTTTACGAAAAACTGTACGATATTTTTCTTCTAATACAACTAACTAGTATGTGAAAAGAATTGACCTTTACAAAATACTAATGTCATCTAATAACTGCTATACTTATTCACAACTATGATACTTCAGCAGCTGAAATTGTTTCCTATTTCTATCTTGTCCTGTCTGTCTTATGAAAACATAACCTGGGACACAAATAATAAGTCAAACCATAATGTGGTTTATTTGTTTTTGGTTTAACCGGGAAATGTGCACCCAGTCCATAACTGAAGAATTATTCTCCAAAGCTATTTTACATTTATTTCAGAACTAATGTATTCTGAAACTTCTTTATTTTAGCATTGTCTCGTTCAGCATTCCAAGCAGAAAGAAAAGATTCAAATAATCCTAACTGGATAGCAGTTGGCCTCAGTCTTTCTTCAACAGTCCTATTATGGGTTATGGTAAGAAATATGTGTGTGAATAACACTGTTTGTAAAGTAACCTTTAATCAATTCTTTTTCCCCATCTTTTCCTGATTTTTAATCATTTGAGCACTTATAATCCTATTTTCCATAGTTGCCCTTATATATGAACATGACTGTACCTCAAGGAGCTATACTAGATGTACTTCCTAGTTGGTGGGATGCCATCAACAGACAACAGTATGTTGGCTTGCAAATTAGCCTATAGATTAAAGATCCTAGCTTGCATAGAACTGTGGAATAAGCTTGCTTAAAACTGACTTTAGTCATGCTTGTGTGGCACACTAGCTAATATGTACCAAAACTGACTAGTACTATCCTTACGTTATCAGGGAATGCTGCTTGCAGCTTGGATAGGACTGAAGCTGATAACCTTCTATACATCTCTCTGTTACTGAAAAGCATTGTACATATAGGTTGGAAACATGTAATCTAGTTTTCTTTTAAAATATAGAAATGAATGAATTATCTTCCTGCTGCAGGTTTCCAAACTGGAAGCTACTGTTAGAATTATTTTCGAATATTTTTTTTTTCCTAGAAACAGCTCCATCTACAGTGAACTTAGGGGCTACAATAGCCTTTGCTTGATTTCACTAGAGAATCCACTAAAGAAGAGAGGGGAATTTTTTTGTGATCAAGACTCAGTGTTTTTTAGGTAACTGAAATCTATAGGGGTAGGATGATAATGCAGAGTAAGGTTACATCATCCATGGCAGAGCCAACATTCTCTTTGGAGGAAGGAGATTCCTATTTTAGCACTTACACTTCAGTTTCACATGATTCTCATCTTAAAATAAGAGCCAATGTGATGTAATGAAGGTGTTGGACTGGCACAAATTAGCTGGCACAGTTACACCTAGAATAGGTTCCAGAAGTGCAAAAAGAGGATTGGAATCTGCCAGTTGCCACCTCCTGCATTTGACGAACAAGCAGTGTGCCCTCTGAAAAAAAACTAAGTTTCAGTGACCAAGGGTAGCTATTGGCTGGGTTTGTATATGATATTAAGTCACAATTTTTAAACTACATTTTGATGAATTAGATGGGGATGCTATTGGCTTACACATTATGTTTTTTGTTTTGGCTTAGTGCAAACACATGATGTATAAACCTAGCCAAAAGTGAAAATTGGCAAGATCAAATAATTTAAAACTAATATAGACTTTGAAAGGACATGTGAAGTTATCATTTGAATTCTGTAATTTTGTCAAATAGTAATTATGGAAACTCTAGTATTCTTCTAAATAAATGTATTGTAAATGAAATAATAGAAGCTCGTAAGATCATGCTTAACCTTGTATGTTCAATGCATTTATGTTTACCTTTTAGCTCATCAGGCATCATAATTATGAACTGGCAGAATATGAAAGGAGAAAAACAGAGCAAGGTTCTTAATGCCAATGCAATTGCTATGGTATGTAAATAAAGCTATATCCTTACTCTTTTTCTGGTATTGATTGATTTTTTTCCATATTGTAAGATTTAAAGAGCCTTCTAAATTCTCGTGTTCCTTTATATCAGCTTTCTCCATCACCATAATATAGATCCCCCAAGAAATTCAGGGCTCTATGTGAGTGATGGTCTTCACTCCATTCTCCTTCAGTGCGCCTTGGTTTTCAAATTCTGGGTCTTGCAAACTAAAAATGCAATTGCTTCGAGTTCAGACTACACAGTAAACTCTGTCACTGCTCAAGGAGCAACATGATCGGGTAAAAATAGTGATGCATGCACGTTTGTTAAGCCTGTATAGAAGCCTAGTACGTCATAGAAATACAGCCAAGGTGTTTTCACTTCTACTTTAGGATAACCATTATTAGCACTATGTTTGAATTTAAACAATGGTTAGTCTTAAATATTGATAATCGAAGAAACCCAACTTCATTTTAGACTGATTTTAGAGTGGAATAATTTCAGCCTACACTATAATCAGTTTAGCGTAGCAGTTAAAGCACTAGGCTAGAAACCAGGAGACCGTGAGTTCTAGTTCCGCCTTAGGTATGAAGCCAGCTGAGTGACCTTGGGCCAGTCACTCTCTCTCAGCCCTAGGGAGAAGGCAATGGCAAACTACTTCTGAAACCTTGTCAAGAAAACTGCAGGGACTAGTCCGGGCAGTTGCCAGGAGTCAACACTGACTTGAAGGCGCGTGCGTGCGCACCCACACACACACATACTATAACCAATTCTAATACCACAGATACGTCAGTTAAAATTATATGTTGTCTGATTAACAGTAATAATTGTAAAGTATATACTGTTTTGTCACCATGACAAAAGAGAAAGTTTACAAAGATTTTTCAAGAGCTAGGTAATCCCCATCCTACAATTTCACTCAAAATCTTTAAGACTATTATTTTGTAATAGATGGGTCATAGAGATAGATATTACTTTGAACCTACTATATTGTGCGTTATATCATTCCTAATATGTTTTAATCTTTAAATCTTTTTTTTTTTAGGTTGAAGATATCTTATAGCTGATGCATATTCTGCAGTGAAATTATCAAAGCTGGATCTATTCCTAATTAATGCTAATCTTCATGAAATAAAACACTGACTAGTATGGAAAGTGACTAAAATATTTGTTTCATTTGGTCTCTTCCAAGAGCTATGATAAAATATTCAGATTATATGAAAACGTTTTCACAGAAAACTGCTGTAAGTTGGCTGGGTGACTTTGGGTCAGTCACTCTCTCTCAGCCCAACTCACCTCATAGGGGTATTATTGTGGGGATAATAGGAGTCAGTAGTATTATGTATGTTCACCGTCTTGAGTTATATATAAAAAAGGTTGGATAAAAATATAATAATAATAATGATGATGATAATAATTCTATTCAGAATTAAAACCCATTGACTCTAACATAATTACTGGAAGAGAAATGCTTGGAGAAAAAATAAATACTTTTTTTGAGGAAGCACATATAAATATTTGTGGTCTTTCTTAGCATTTTTAAATTATTGTCCTAATTACTGATTATGTATTTACTAAATATTAACATTGAGGTTACATAATTGAATAAGAACATGTTAACGCTATTGTTTTTTACTCTTTAATGAAAAAAGCATAGAACTTTCCAAATTGTTTTGATCTTGAAATGGTTGCTTTGGGTTTAAAATTAATTGTTTTAACCTTACTGAAAATATCCCCATGCTATTCCAACTGTACAGAAATAGCCCAAGCTCAAAATGGCCTTGTAAGCTTGGAAGAGCTGTTTTGAAGTCGAAACACTTTGCATTTTTATTACTGAAGTACTAGCATAGTGTTCAAAAATATGAAATAGAAATCTAGGGTTCATATTTTATTAATTCATTAACCTGAATCAGAGATTTTTCTCAATATTTTTTTCTCTACTTGTTACTTCTTAGTGAACTAAAATTTCATTTGCCTTGTTAAATATCCTTATAGCTTGGTCAGTCTTAACATATTTTCTCTCTTTTTAAAATTTTTTATTGAAGTTTTTAATAAACATAGTAAAAACTAATACAAACTAAACTAGAAGAAAAAATAAAAATATTCAGAAGGTATAGAAAAAAGAGAAAAAGAAAAAGGCAACGAAAATAATAATAAAGAAGTGGCTTCAAACTTTCATCACACTGAGCATAAGCTGATATAGTAACTTTTCACCCTCTCTTAAAGTTACAAATAAAAAAACTGTTCTCACCATAGCCTAACTTTTATCTATAAGCAATCCAGAAATCATAATCTTTTCAATCCAAGTTCAGCAAAAAGTCCATTAGGAGTTACCAGAAATATCATAGTTTATCCCTGGACAAATAGTCCAACTTCATATTCCTTCTTTTTGCTCTGCACAATCTTGACCATTAAATCAATCCTATGACATCACAGGATTTGATCTCATTGTCTCTTAACATATTCTTAGCACGATTCAGCCATATCTCCAAAATGTGCTGTTGCCACATATATCAGGATAGTGTTAGAATTAATTGATTAAGAGTGCGAAACTGCCAGTACTCTGTTAGAAAGGATACTGCTGAAAGGGTTGAGTGGCAGAGAAGGGAATCTGATTGGCCGGTTCCACTGTTTCATAGAACAAACTTTGCTGCTCAAAATGATATCTTTCTTTCCCAGATTCTGTGCATAAGAAAGGTCCCTCCCTTTCTCAGCAACAGCATAACCTGCAATATTGTATGTTGCAATCTCTTCCTTTGGTACTGCTCACAGGGACAGAGTCAGGAAGCATGATAATGATTGCTGAGGGCAGTATGGGAATGGGCAAAACTTGGAAGAAGAGATTATAAGCAGATATGGAAATAAAGCTGAATGCTTACCCAGTAATATAGCCTAGTATCCCTACTGTAATGTTTACATTCTAGACACTGCACTGATGCTTGAGCCCTTTGATCTCTATTGTGGTGTTGAAGCTGTACAATATAGTCTTATGTATTCTTACTTGAAAGTCCTGTTGTAATGAAACTTGCTCCTAGAAAGGTGCATAGGATTTAATCTTATATTCATAGAATATAAGTACTGCATAAAACATTATTTATTTGATATTTAATGTTTCACTTCCCATTCTTAGATTTACAATCACTTCAACTGTAAAGTGTTTATGATTGGTTAAAATATCTTCAATTTTAGAAAGTGAAGCAGAGGACAAATCAAAACCATGCATGCAGCATTCACACAGGGAAAATCTAGGTGAAGATCAAGTCTTTAATAAGTGCCTAAAACATACAGATGGTCCTCGTTTAGTGACCACAACTGAGACTGGCAACTTGGTCATTAATCAAAGCAGTTACTAAGTGAAACTGTGACTGTGCTTATGATCTTACTTCAGCTTTCCTTTACTTTACAGACCTGCAAAGGCTGTAAATGTGAGGATTGGTCATGAAGTTACTTTTTCATCACCACTGTAACTGAATAGTTGCTAAACAAGGCAATTGTTAAACGAGGACTTCCTGTAATTAGATGTACCCCAGGAGACAGAACATTTCAGACCGAAAGCACTATAACTGAGAAAACCTGACTGAGTAATTGCAATATGGCACTCTAGTTCAAAACCCATATGGAAGACCTCCCCAAACCTTCTTAGCAATTGTCCTGTAATAGTAAAGGTAGTTTGTTAGTTATCCCAGTTGTTTAATGCTTTATACATCATAAACAAAACATTGAATTTGGCTTGGTAACTCGTTGGCAGCCAGTGGAGTTGCTTCATCTCAGGTGTAAGATATGCAAGGCGAAGATGTGCATCACTCAACAATTTGCTACTTGCATTCTACTCCAGCAGCAGCTTCCTGGCCAAGTGCAAGGCCAGCCTCATAAGCGCAATACAAAAAGCTGAACATGAGATTAGGGGCCACTTGGTGTAGCGGTCAAAGGCACCTGGCTAGAAAACAGGTGACCATGAATTCCAGTCTGCCTTAGGCACAAAGCCGGCTGGATGACTTTGAGCCAGTTGCTCTCTCTCACTCATTGGAAAAAGGAGATTGCAAACCACTTCCAAAATCATTGCCAAAAAACCCGCATGGATTGACTCAAAGGCGTTAAAAAAAAACTACGACTGCATGAACCACTTTCAGCTGAAGATAAATCAGAAATAAAATGCTTTGGTAGGGTCTGTGGTCTGCTTATACTTTAAAGAGAAAACTATTGTAAAGCTGAGGGGAAAACAGGCCCACTCTTTCAAAAGTATCTAATTTTTATTAATTTAAAACATTTTTTTTATCCTGCTCTTTAGCCAAAAAGACTCCAAGGATAGCTTACAAATAATAATAGTGAGAAAGTGTCATCTTTCAAGCATATCATGAAATACATGGGATATACAAGAAAAAAAGATGGTGGAAAACAGCAAAATTGAGCACAAGTTCTTAAAAGTTTTTGTCATAACCAGCTTGTCTTTTCCTGGTCTTCTAACTCTCTGTTTACTCACATGCATATACATTTGCACTATAGGTAGGCAAGTGCCATCACATCAATCATCTAAAGTGTGCTGTAGTGGGAAAAACCCCGCCCTTCCAGACCCTGCTCACTGCTCTCCACAGCTTGCCAAACTGAATGCCTCCCTGAGAAGGGTTCAATATAGCAAACCTTCTCTAAGAGGTGTGACTTCACATCGCCCATTAACTGACCTGTGTGGCACATTATCCAAATAGCCCTTTATTTTTTATTACTGATAATTATTTTTAAAAAGCTACACAAAAAAGGATACCTTTGCATGCACAACAACCTGCTTTACAAAAAGGCTTCCTTCCTTGCATTTTCCCAGGCTCAGCTCCCTATTCTCTGCTTCAGCTTCTCTATCTGAGGTACCCACATTACTGCTTCATCACTCTTACTCTCATTTGAGGTAGAAGGGAAAAGTAGCAAATTCTCATCACTTTCAACCCAACTCCCAAATAGCCAAAAAGGATAAATCACTACATTTATTTGGGGCTGAGAGAAGAGGAAGAGGAAGAGGAAGAGGAAGAGGAAGAGGAGGAGGAGGAGGAGGAGGAGGAGGAGGAGGAGGA